TCCGTGCGCTTAAGCGCCCAGATGGAGGCTTTAGCGCCCGATAGCGCGCGCTTGAGCGCCCGGTAGCGCGCTGAAGCGCGCTGGGCCTGTGACCAACATTCTCTTGTGTTGCTTCAAATGGTCCTAACTTGGGCTACAGTGCTCCGATTTGAGCACGGTTTGGAGCCACAGGTAGCTAATGAAGAAACCTACAATATAGTAGAAGTATTGAACTAAACAAGAAGTAAATTAAAGGTTTAAAAATGGAAAATGAACATGATGTTAAGCTTAATTTATCTGTTTCCGCGAGGTAATTTGGTTATGATCACGAAATTGGGTATTATAAGTTCGGTACGTTTAAAAATGAAAAATTTATCCGGATTTTAATTGAACCCATGTGATTGTAACTGCGCTTAATATCATAATGCGATGTTAACAAACCGGTTCTAGAACGGGGTGTTACACAAGAAGCATAAGTAGGTTGTACCTGATAGCAGGACATTTTGAGTTGCATGCCATTTAGAATTGCTATATGTATATTTTGATGCCACATAATGTATTTGGGAGGACTTAGTGCATGATCATCGTAGTAGTAATTGGTATTTGGTGCATGGTTACTTGCTTTGATCATGTTCTTTTTGTAGCTAAGTCATTTGGCATGTATATGAAATTTGTAAGAACAATGATGTAATTGAGACCTGATGATGTTGTAATGTTGTAATTAATGAAGATATATATAATGACCCTAAATGGTAAATCTTAATAAGAGATTTAATTTAAGGATTTAAATGCCATAATTAGATTTAGTGTGTGATTCCGAGTATTTTGACTGTAATCATGACTATGTGATGAACAGTGCGTTCTGCCGGAGAATTTACAGTTTTGTGAATTAACCGGTAGAGCTTAAAAAGAGCAAAATAATTTTAGAGGCATAATTTGATAATTCTGACGACAAATATGAGTTCAGAACGAAAAATTGTATAGTCTGGCACTTTCCGTGAAAATCTCGTGAATAATGTTTCTACCGGGTATTTTGTACTGCTGTTTAAGCAACCGGTAGAGTCCAGAAATAAATAATTGATGAAATAAGAATAAGAAAGTCCAATATATGCCAAGCAAGTCAATATAGGCCCAAGAAAATGATAAGTTTATAAGTGTTAAGTTTCATAAGTAAATAAAGTACAGTTAGTGATTCACAGTGCATTTCGTCAAAAACGGTGCAGAAACCATACTGTGAATTATGAATATTGTTTTGTAACAAATAAAAATTAATGTAAATGATTTTAGAAAAATAAAAATATGTTCGTAGCTTTAAGTTAGTTCCGGGTCAATTTAAGTTAAAATACGCGATAGAAAAACATCTGATGAAAGGGGCCACATGTGCCTATATAGCCTTGTCACTTAAATGAAACACTATTCATTTCAGATTTTCTTCTTCTTTCTCTTGCATGGCCGAGCTGCACTTGGAGGAGAAGGGGCTAGGGTTCCAAATTTCCTTTCTTTGATTTCTTAATCATCCATTCTCCAAATTCAAAGACCCACCACATGAAATTGATTGGAAACCACTCAATGAATCCATTCCACCAATCAATTTGAGCTATAGTTGAGTGTGTGAGGAGTTTTTCCTTCCCCAATTTTCGAGCTACTATTCATCAAGGAGGAGAAATGACATTTTTGGTGGAGCTTTGCTTGGTGAAGGCCTTCTAGGCTTTGGGTAGTTCAATTGAGGTAACAAAACTCTAACCTTATGGCTTTATTAGTGTGAATAATGTTTTTAAAGTCATGAGCATGGTTGGGTAGGAAATAAAGTAGTATAGAATGTGAAAATTATGATGGATTATTGTTATTTAGGAAGTTATAGTGTCGAGTAAGTATCCACATGTGATAAAATAATTGAAAAGCCCTATTGTATTTTCCCCCTAGGTTTCGGCCTTCATGGGTTATATAGGGTTCATCATGCAAATTTTTATTGTATGTTTGAAAAGGTAAAATATGTTGGAATGTAGTGTAAATGGATGAATTGGTGGAAATGCCAAAGTTAGGAAAAAAAAATCCTACAAATACTTGCTCTATGTTTCGAACTATAGGATGTTTAGGGGTATATATATATATTGGTTACATTTTATTCTAATAAAATGTGTTGCATTTTAATATACCAATGGATGAGCTAAGAAGTGAAATGCTTTGACAAATGGTTAAAAATACCTTGAGTCCCTAAGGGTATGCCCGCGACTTTTAAAGAAAAATAGCATGATTTATGTGAAAAATTCTTAAGTAAATGCTTGATTAAATTAAAGAACGCCAACGGGTGTATAGAGGTCTAGACTTGTGTATTGGCATAGAATTGGCAAAAATATAAAGAAAGGAAAATAAGCGATAAAATGTATGCTTATGAAATAATCATGGTATTGCATCATTTTATTGATGCATTGTAAATTATTCTCTAGGTGTGCCTAGGGATTGAGAAGGATCGAAAATCTCTTGAAGCGATAAAAGTAACTTGTTCCACAAGTAAGCGTATTGGTAAAGCTTCAAGAGGTAAGCTCTATGTTTAAGGAGTCTTTTCCTGCTTGAGTGCTCCACCATGGTTAGTGAACTATGGTTGGACTGTATGACTGTGATTTAGATGCTTTGTATAGATGCATTCATATAGAGTTATTTGATAACATGATATGTTTTGCTCTGATATGACTTCTGTAATATGATTTCTGTAACAATCTTTGGCCATTGATTGTATAGTACCCGGATGTCCGCTTTGGGGTCCTCCCTCGGGACTGATGGTGTACGCCTCTGATATGTCTGGTTCCGCTTTGGGGTCCTCCCTCGGGAACACGTGCTTTGATTTCCGCTTGGGGTCCTCCCTTGGGAATGACGGCGCACATCTCTGATATGATATGGATATATGCTCTGTTCTGTTATGATATCTGTTATATATTGTATTTGTATACTCTGTATCTGACTTTCATGCAGGAGTGAGCCAGGGGTATGGAGAATTCTCTATAAACCTGGAGCTTATTGAGATTTGTAATCTCACCCCTCTTTGGGGACATATTTTCAGGTGCCCAGATTCCCGGTGAGTCCTCACTAGGCAGGGACACGACACGTGGCTGAGGCAGTTGACAGATCGGATTTTGAGTGGCTGTAGGCTACTACCTTTTGGAGTGTTTGATGTCTTTTAGTATTTCCGCATTTGATGGATCACGATATTGATCCTTTATTTTGTATATGGCCTGTATATGTTTTGTACATGTCTGTCACTTGGATGCATGTACATTTGGGTATTCAGGCACGTCATATGATGATGTATTATTCAGTTTATGATTTCGTATTGGATTGCATGTTGATTAGGATAGTGGCACGGAGCCATATTTTGCATGCGCCCATGGATGGGTATCTGATTGTATCTGCATGACTGGTACTTCTGGATTACTATGCTGTATAAACTGTTTATCAGGAAATGCTTCTGAGAGGGATTGGAAAATTCCCGGTTGTCCGATTTATAGAGGAAACTCTGCCCGATTTTCCTTTACCCCGAGTAAGAATTAAAGTAGAAAAAGAAAAAGTTAACTCGTATTTTCGTAAGTTAAGTCTTCCGCTGTTTTCTGTTTTATCATATGTATGTTAATTGAACCGGCTCGAGACGAGGATGTTACAATATATGTATGATGAAATGGTATGCATGCCTCTCTTAGTGTATGAGTACCTTGAAAGACTAGGATTCGTGTGTTGAAATGATTATATGATGTCAATTAGGTGAAAGAAGACCTTTGGGTTGAAAGTCCAAGTAAAAGTAAAAATATCCTGTCTTCTTGTCCATCTTTCGTATCATATATGATAGATTTGGACCCTTGTGTCTTCATGGAAGTTGTAGATATTTTTCTTAGCTTTCCATAGAGACCAAGATTGTGTAAATTGAATTAGTACAACTCAAGTTATGGGTAAAATACCAGAGGAGGTCGAATTGCCCTGTTTTGGGGTCTACCTCCTGAACCTGGCGCTATTAGCGCCGTGGTGGCGCTAATCGCGCCAACATACAGAGAGGAGACAAAAGGCTGGCACTAATCGCGCCAAGTTGGTGATAATCGCGACGGAATTCTGGAAAATGTCTGTGGCGCGGCGCTAATCGCGCCGGTTTGGCACTAATCGCGCCGGAATCTGCGGGTTCAGCATCATGTTTTTAGAAAATGCATAACTTGAGCTACAGTGCTCCAAATTGAGCGCGGTTTGAATCCACGCATAGCTAACGAAGAAACCTATAACATATTAATGAATGAGAAGCATTTGAGAGGTATAAAAATTGTTAGAGTAAATAAAAAGGCAAAGAAAACTAGTGTTAAACATGAATATAATAAGTTTGGAGCTTTGTTGGTTTATGGGAACCACTTAGCATGTTTAAATGTAAGTTGCATGGTATTAAGCTGACGTACTCATAATTCTGCTATAAGTTTTGAGTTATGATCACAGTTATTTCAAAGGTGCAAACAATATTAAAAAGAAAAAGTTTTTCCGTAATTACAAATAAATGCTGTGATTGTAACTGCGCTTAATGCCGTACGTAATGATAACAAACCGGTTCTAGAACGGGGTGTTACAAAGAGCATCTAGATCCAAACTAACCTGCAAGACTAGACATCTCTATTTTCAGGACATAACAATAATTTTTTTTTTTAATACTAGATTCTTATAGGGTCTAAAATCTAAAGGAAGCTCTACGACTATAATAGTATCAAAGGATTCCCACTAAGAAGCTCATAGAGGGAGAAGGGAATGAAAAGAATGTTGCATACATGTACTACACCTTCTATCGAAAATTTAAGTAAATAACCCAATCGTGTGACTTAAACTTACAGGACGTAGAAACATCCTCTTCTTGTTCTTTCCTTCCAAATTTTGCAAACGAAGTAGACACTCAAGGAGATAAGTATGAGCTCATATTGTTTATGTTTAACAAGATGGATAACTAAACGTCTGCAAATACACTTAAATTTACAATAACCATTGTTATTTTAATATCGGTGTTCCTAAATTCACAAATCACAAGTACTTTGCAAATAACTACTATTCAAAATTACCAATCAAAAGTTGTTTTTCTTCTCCTGTCAACCACTCGATCACACATACAACGAGTTGATGTTGCACTAAACAAATTTAATGAAACATGTACAAATTCAAGCATACAACGAGTTGTGTTTTTAAAATCTCTAATAAATGTGCATAACCGATCTAATCTAATTCTTGAATAACTTCCAGCTCCAAATTCAGAGGTCTTGCAGCAATATTGGTACTTGTATTAGTGGAAGCTGTAGAATCGAAAGGACTTGGGGGCACCTTTAACTTGTCTCCTTCTCCTTGGAGCATCTGCATGACAGTTTTCATGGAAGGGCGTTGCACAGGGTGCCACTGGATGCACCAAAGTCCCACTATTGCAAGTTTTTTTGCAATTTCAAAATCTCCCTCTTCATCAATTGGGATATGCACGTCTCCTCCTTCAAGCAAACTATGTATCCAATCTGGATATAGAACTTGGAAAGTATCTTGACCTGTGTTTACATTCTTTCTTCCTCCAACCATCTCTAACAGCAACATCCCATAACTATAGATATCAGACTTATAAGATACATTGCCAAAGTTTCTAGAAAAAACTTCAGGTGCCATGTACCCTAATGTTCCCCTGGCTGCAGTCATGGATACAGTACTTCTATTTTTTGAGCACAGCTTAGCTAAACCAAAGTCTGAAATTTTTGGAGTGAAGGTGTCATCTAGCAAGATGTTATGGGGATTGATGTCAAAGTGAAGAATTCTATGATCACAACCCTGATGAAGATACTCAATTCCTTTGGCTATTCCAACAGCAATTTGTTGCAACTTGTCCCATCCAAGGAAGGAGTCCTTGCTGTCCTGTGGAGAGATGAATTTCTGCAGTGAACCGTTTGGGAAAAAGTCATAAACTAAAGCACGATGAGATCCATCTGCACAGAAGCCAAGCAAGCGAACAACATTAACATGGTGGATTTTGCCCATTGTTCCCACTTCATTTATGAACTCTTTTCCATCTCCCTCAGTGCTATTGAGGATCTTCACAGCCACCAGAATTTGACTTGATAATTTACCTTTGTAGACAGCTCCATGAGCTCCTTCACCTAACTTGTCCTTAAATTGATGCGTAATTCTCTTGATATCAGCATAAGAGAATCTGGTTGGCTTTAAAGCCCTGTAATCCTTCAAAAAGTTTTCAACTCTTGCGTGATCTTCCCCTTTCATCCTAAAATAGCAATATATTCGAAAGAAGGCACGGAGCACGACCGCCAGCATAATTGAACCTATGATTACACCTGCGAATTGAACATTGAAAAACCGAAAAAATCTTAGCTATATAATATTAATACAAAATCATCTTGAGATTGCACTCTGTCCCTCAACCAACCTGCGGCTGTCAAAAAAATGGATGTTGGCTTCTTTGATTTTTGCGTGCATTCAAAGCATCTACTGTCAAAATTTGTTTCGGACCATACCAATGAGAAAGAGTTTCTCATGATCGCAAATGGGGAGAATGGAAAAACTTGGTCAAATAGTTTTGTGCAGGATATTAGGTCCAAATCAACGATACTTTGCTCAGAGTAAGCCATATAAATCGGACAAGATAACATATCTTGCGCATCTTCTTCTATTTGGTACATGTTTCTCAGATGCCGTTGCCCTACTGAAGAACAATTGAAGAAACTAATATTGTATGGTTCTACAAATTTGAAGAAAGGTAAAAATGACGAATAGTTCAGTCTAAGAAAGAGTTCTGGAAGACAGTTTTCAGGGTCATACGCTTCTAATGTTTGCAATCTGTAATCAATATGACTGACAACCAGTTTTACTGGGACTCGAACTACAGGAATCTCAAGCATCTTATTGTTTTGTGTACAAGATACACGGAAGGGACACGGAATGGAGGGTCCATTCTGAGCATCCCCAAGATTCATAAGCAGCAACATTACCAACGCTAGCATAGTCATCATCAAGGGAGAACTCTGATACCAAATCATTTCAAACTTTTCGTATAGGTGAGATTGGTGGAGTGTCTGATTCTAATGAGATGGAATGGTCAGAAGTCTGAAAGGAGTGCAGTCAAAAAAATGATCAAGAATTTTTCAAAGTCCAAGTCAATGCTCGATTGCTTTGACTTAGAGAAAGACAGTTTTGTCCTTAGAACTTGTCCGTAATAATATGTCCTGTTTCCTTTCAGAAAATCCCAGAACAAGAAGTGAAAATAAGTTTTCAGCAACAATCATGTGCAGAGAGAAATCCTTCTCAAGCTATGAGGGATTACTGTTACGCTTCCTCCAAATTACAGTTATACTACTCCAACAAACTTGTGCTGCAAATAATAACCACACATGTGCCCCATCATCCTGCGGCAAAATCACAAACATAAGACATCCATTTCGACTGAAGCATGACCCAGCAAACTGCGGGGACCCGAGGTACGAGCTAGCTTGCGAAAACAACGTCACAGTGTTGACTTTGTTTTCGGGTAAATACTATGTGGAAGCAATCAACTACAAAAATTTCACAATCCGGCTTGTTGATCCTGGTATTCAAGAGTCTGATAATTGCTCCTCCATTCCTCGCTATTTCTTATCCGCATCCAATTTCACTGATTCTTACAATTACGGTGGTTTGTATAATAGTTACTACACGGATCCATATCAAGCCACTCAAATGAGAGAAGGGATGCAAACTTTCATTCAATTCCTGCACGTAATTTACTTGAACTGTAGCAATCCAGTGAGGGATGATGTTCAATATGTGGATACAGGTCCGTGTGTCAAGTGGCATTCCAAAGGCCATGTTTATACTATCGCTGGGGACTTGTCGGCTGGGAACTTGAAAGCTGATTGCCATGTGAAGTTGATTGCTGCAACATCAGTTTTTGGTTCGAGATATATTACTGGTTCGAATTTGGGTATATACAACCAAACCTTTTCCTATGATGAAATTCATGAGATGCTAGTTTATGGATTTGATGTTTCGTGGATGGGTCGTCCTTGTGAAGATCTTTGTGGAAAGCGAGCTTGCTACTTAAATGAAACAACTGAGAGTCCTGGATGCGAATACTGGTCTGATTACTGTGCTACTCCATTGGGATTTGAGGTCAGATGTGGTAAGAAGGACTTTGATCTTCTTTTCTTATTTTGAGAATTGCTATTCATAATTTCTTTCCGGAAAAAGTGTGTGTACTTAAACAACACAAACTCAGACATACAGACACAAACAAATGAAATTCACATCTTAATTTTTAATTTTTTTTTTCTAGTAAAACTCATTTTTTTTTTTTTTTGTCTATTTCTCTTTTATAAAGATCTAAATGTATATCTTTAAAAGGAGACACATTTTTTCTTTTTTCTTTTTGCTATTCTAATGTTTTTCCCCCACGGAAAGATGGTACATGAATAACATTTCTCTTTCGCTTTTAAATGGGATAAATTACATTTATCTTCCCATATGCTTAAGTTATATTTTTAACTTTTCTGTATAGAAAAATTTCACTCCACTGTCTTCAAACATTTAAGATCTTTTGTATTTTTTTGGGTTTCAAATTAGCCTCTTAACAGTTATCATATTATTATTAAAATTTAAGATTAATGTTTCTCATATTATAAGAGATAACTATATCTTCTACACATACACATAAAAATATTTAAGGTTCATGTGAGGCTATGTGAAGAGAAGAGAGAAAAACAAATATAGATTTCACACATTTTTATATATGTATAGTATAGGAACTAAAATTATTTACTAGAATATAAAAAAGACTAATCCTTTACAATTTATGTTGAACAGTGAAATCATTTTTAATTCACTCTTATTGGGCCTAAATTTTAGTCTTCCAAAGTAAAATACCCAATACACATTCATCGCAAAAAGTAACAATTAATCATCGCAAACCCTGTACTCATGGTCATTGAGGACAGAATTGACAAACTGTATGCATTCACGTAGTATTGATTCAACAATTTCTGAAGCAACAAAATTAAACTGATTGTTTAATTTTTTGTCTTCTCCAAAATCTAATTTTTTTTCCTTTCTCTTTTTCTTTTCTTTTTAAGGAACTCTATCAAAGCAGCGCATATTTGTGGAAGGTAAGGAGTTATCTCTTTAAATTTTATTCTATTCTATAGCACACCATTTTTCTTTCTTTTGTGAGACAAGATTCACAAAACTAAATTTTGCCACAATTTTTTTCGCTAACATTATCCATCCATTTTTCCGGTGACCACTAGGATCTGAATCCCAATTCAAAACAAATATTTCGTAAGTCGTTATCCTATAGAAATAAGAATTGTTTGGTTGACTTATTAAGGGTGTATAGCCAATCTTTTAGGTCAAGTAACTTTTTGGTGTTGTACAATGTTAGGTGAAATTCTTAAAACATATGATAAGTAACTGACCAAGTGACCGGGTTAAGGCCAAGATAGAGCTTGTAACATCCCCTGCCTCGAGCCGGTTCAATTAACATGCATATGATACTTAACAGAAACAGCGGAAGACTTAACTTACGAAAATACGAACTAACTTTTTCTTTTTCTTTAATCCTTTTTCACATGACATATCACATTGCATACTTCTTCTAATTTAATTCTTATTTTACGGAGACGAAAATCGGACAGAGTAACCTCTGTAAATCGGACAACTGGAGATTTTCCAATCCCACTCTCAAGAGTTCCTGATAGACAGTTTAAACAATATATATTTCCAGAAGTACCAGTCATGCAAATATACTCAGATACCCATCTATGGGCGCATGCTGAACTTGGCTCCGTGCCACAAATCTAATAGCATGCAATCCAATACATAACATAACTGAATACTACATAGTCATATCATCATGCCTGAATACATAAATGTACATGTATCGAATATGAACACTATGCAACAATACATCTTTTCCAAAAATACGTCTAAAACAAATAGTAGCATCCGACCATCCAGAACTCCACATCCTCATACTAGTACCTCTAGCCACGGTTAGTGTCCTTGTCCCGTGAGGCTCGTCAATTAACTGTGTTCCTGAAATCATATCCCCAAACGGGGTTAGAGACGAATCTCTAGTAAACTCCAGGTTTATGGAAAACCCTCCATACCCTGGGCTCACTTTCTGCATGACAGTCAGATACATAATATACAAAACATCATATAAGCAATTATCATAATTGAACAAAGCATATATACATATCTTATCAAAGACAAACGCAGTCTTTCCCAAGGGATGACCCCAAGCGAAAATCAACGCACGTAACAAATATCTTTTACAAAAATCATCACAATACTCACATCAGAACAAAACGTGTTATATCAGAGACGTACGCAATCGTTCCCAAGGGATGACCCCAAGCAAAAATCAACGCACGTAACAAATATCTTTTACAAAAATCATCGCAATACTCACATCAGAACAAAACGTGTTATATCAGAGACGTACGCAATCGTTCCCAAGGGATGACCCCAAGCGGAAATCAACGTACGTAACAAATATCATTTACAAAATCATCATTCATATCCCATAAAACATGTCATATAATCAAATATCATAACTAAACAAAACATATACACATATCTTATCAGAAACGTACGCAGATATTCCCAAGGGAGGACCCCAAGCGGAAATCAACGCACTTGTTCCCAAGGGAGGACCCCAAGCGGAAATCAATGCACGTGTTCCCGAGGGAGGACCCCAAAGCAGAACCAGAACATATCAGAGGCGTACGCAGTCATTCCCAAGGGAGGACCCCAAGCGGAAATCAACGCACGTGTTCCCGAGGGAGGACCCCAAAGCGGAACCATAACATATCAGAGGCGTACGCAGTCATTCCCAAGGGAGGACCCCAAGCGGAAATCAACGCACGTGTTCCCGAGGGAGGACCCCAAAGCGGAACCAGAACATATCAGAGGCGTACACCATCAGTCCCGAGGGAGGACCCCAAAGCGAACATCCGGGTACTATACAATCAATGGCCAGATATTGTTACAGAAATCATATTACAGAAGTCATATCATAACAAAACATATCATATTATCATATAGCTCTATATGAATGCATCTATATCATATATCTCATACATATCATACAACCTGACCACAGTCCGTACACTATGGCGAAACACAAAGTAGGAGCGAACCCCATAAACATAGAGCTTACCTCTTGGAGCTTTACAATTTGCTTACTTGAAGAACAAGCTACTTATCATGCTCCACGAGAATCCAAACGTTCACAGTCCCTAGGTACACCTAGAGAAGGAATTCAACACAAAACTCAATAAAATGATATAATGCCATGTAAATATACAAGACACACACTTTATTGTTTATTTTCTTTTTACTTAATCATATTAAGTTATGAGTGGGTGGTTCTTTGTTCAATAAATCCCCACAAAATTTCACACATTCACTTAGTCTTAGGATAGTCTCAACTTAAGGCAGAATGCCCATTACAATGGAGCTATAAGATTTCTCTTTGTCTAGTGCCTAAACCCAAGCTTAGCCACCTATATAAATTATTTTACGCATATAAGTGTTCTCACTTTGCGAAATAATATCTCCGAACATATACCTCCTTTGAAAATGGCTAAAACTCATTTTAAGGTCATACAAAGGAGCTACCTTATTTTCTTTTTTATTTCACCAAAGCGAAGGTCCATACACCTTAAAATATTATTCCACGCATAAAATTATGCTCGCTTTGTAAAACAGTAACTCATAGCACATACTTCCTTTGAAAATGGCTAAGAGGCACATACAAGAAATCATGCCAACTTCATGATTCCAATGCTTTAATCCATCAAATTCAAGCTTATCACACACCTTTAATCCAAGATTCATTAATTCATATATATACAGTACTTTTCCTCTCTACAGTACTATTCATGTATACGTCACTATTCACGTATACGACACTATTCAAAAATACGTTATCTTTAATTTTTCAAATACATTTTCACCGTTAAAATTCTCATCTAAACACTTTTCTCAACATGAGCTAAACTTGAATCAAGCTCTAACATGCTCAATCAAAACAAATTTTCAAAATGAAAACCTAAATTCAATCTTCATAAAAACATGAAAAGGAAGGGAATTTCTTACCACAATGCACTCTAGAACAAAGGAGAGATGAGTTCCTAAGCTCCCATGGCCTCAAGCTCCATCAAAATCTATCTTTTCCATAAAATTCGAAATCTTTGGGGGAGAAGATCTCTCTCTACAGTGAACCCCACCCAAAAATACTGGTACCAATAGATTCCTCTCGAAATTTCTCACAGGTTTGGCTTTGGAACGGAGTGATTTGGAGGTCTCTAGCTCAAGTTATGAATTTTGGAAGATTTAAAACCAAAATCTCCATTTTTTCTTTCCCTTACTGTCGTCGGATGAAACGTAGAAGAAGGAGAACAGTGACTTAATTGAGTCAATTAATGAGTTTACTTTATCAGTGGGTATAAGCTTATCTATCTACACACCTCCATTCATTACCAAATTTTACCCTATGGACTAGAATATTTTTCTAGTCACTTTTTTATATTTACTTTCACTTTTTGGATAACTTTATTGTTGGGAATGAAACGAGGGAGTCCAAAACCCTTGCAAAGGGTACATCCACCAATGGGCCAAATGACAAACCATAATAAGTGGGCCGACACCACATCTCAACCCAAAACCTTAAGGCTGCAGGTTTATGGGTCTTTCACACTTATATGGTCATCACTTGGTCTATGTCTAGTCTATGTGGTACTTCTTTACAACTCATACTTGATTATTTTCAACATCCTCCCTCAAGTGTGAGACCCAATATCATTCTTACTCTAAGGTCAACTTCTGCGGAAGTCTTTTTTTCTTTTCAAATATTAGGGTCACACTAGCCTTCTGCAGAGGCCTTCCCAAACACTTAGCCCAGATCGTTTGGCTCTGATACCACTGTTGGGAAATTCGTTCCCTCAAACTCCAATGTCAAGCAGGTCCAGGGGAAGCCCGTGGCGGGGAACCACCACCAATGAGCTAAGGCTACACCAACCGTAGCAAGTGGATCCGACACAATGTCTCAACCCAAAACCTTAAGGCATTGGGTTCATGGGTCCTTTCATTTATATACTCTTCACTTAGCTCATTACCAACCAATGTGGGACTCATCACACTTGAATATCTCAACAATCTCCCCCTCAAGTGTGAAACCCACCATTGGTATACTCCCCTTCAACCGAGTACCCGAAGCGCAAAGTACTCGACCCGCCTCCTAGCCAATCACTAGGCTAGCTCGAGCCCAATCCGGCTCTGATACCACTGTCTCATACTTGATTATTTTTAACATTTATTTACCCACATTTTTACTACTTTACTGTCATTTTAACTCTTTTTTTCACCAAAGGTGACTTATTTCTTTTATTTCTAATTATTTTTCAACATTAAATCCACCATTACTAGTAAAGGTTGTTATAGAGCTAAGCTAACTTAGGCAAAGCTTACCCAGCTTACCCTATTTACACTGTATTAGACAATTCCATAATATAAAATAGATTTAGTTAAAAGTGTTTTCAGGTATTCCATCCAAATATAAATAGATTTAGTTTTTTTTTTTAAGTTTTTATAGAAAAAAGTAATAAATAAAAAATTATGTTTTCAAAAGTCCATCCAAACATTCTCAGATATTTATAGCAATTATTTTGCTGTCGGTGGTAATCAATTACCACCAAGAAGGTAATCATTTCTGCCCTTTCCAAAAAGCTGAAAATCGATTATCTTGGGGGCTTTCATTAAAATTGTTAATCGGTTAGAGGCCATAAGTTATACCTTCTTGTTATGCTTACTATTTTTCTTCATGTTAAATTGCAGTCTTCTATGTTATCTCTTCCATTTATTAACTTCACTAAAATTTCTTGCAGATATTATATATGGCATTGCTAAAGGTAATATTTTTTCTCCATTACATCATAATTGACCAATTATATTGTGTGAGTAGGTATTAAAAAAGGGTAAATCCATTTTCTAGTCCTATGAAGGTAAAGTGTGATCGCCATGGTTCTCTAAAGGATTTTGATATCAATTAATTAGTTCCTGAATCATGGGAAGTGATATCAAAAGCATATTTAGTATCCAGATCGTGAGACTTAGGGACTAGTTAAATTGATGTATTTTCGAGAATTGACCAAACAAATTGATGTATATTTTTTTGATTCCCATATTGATTTAATTTCCATGATTGAGGAATCATACTGATGTCAAAACTGTTTAACAGACTAAAACGATGACACCTATATCCTTCTATGACTAGAAAGAGAGTTTGCCCACATAAAAAAAACATGAATGAAAGGTTGCCCGATTTCATTTTAGACCAACATTACATTTGAGTGCTTGGCTACTTCTAAAAGATTTTGTACAAAATATTCACATTTTCAAAACAAATAAATTTCATGGTGCCCCATTTCATATCTTATTTAATTTTACAACATGTATGTAAAAAAAAAGTATAACGCATGTCCTTTCTCCTAGTTACGAATGCTACAGAAGAATGTTATGTTTATTATTTTGCCGTGATATATCTTGCACAGGAGTATTACAAGTAATAGGTTGGAAAACAAACAGTGCATCCAGAGGCTTTTCCGATTCTAAACTTGGTATTGAGATAGGAAGATATACGGGAAGGTATGTCTTGTCATCATACATTGCAATAAAAATTGTGTTGGGCCTCATAGTTTTCTTTGCGCTATTGATATATACATGTCGAAGAAGACATGCATCAATATATGAAATTATAGAAGATTTTTTGCGAGGAAATACCCTCATGCCAATAAGGTATTCATACAAAGAGATAAAGAAGATGACTAGAGGTTTCAAGTACAAGCTTGGTGAAGGAGGCTATGGCTCTGTTTATCAAGGAAAGTTACGCAGTGGGCCCTTTGTTGCCATAAAGATGTTGGGTAAACCTAAGGCTAATGCGCAAGATTTCATAAGTGAAGTCGCAACCATAGGAAGAATACATCATGCCAATGTGGTGCGACTTATTGGATTTTGTTTTGAAGCATCAAAACGTGCTCTTGTTTATGAATATATGCCCAATGGCTCTCTTGATAAATATATTTTGTCCAAAGAGAATGATATCTCTTTAACTTATGAGCAAATGTACGATATATCTCTAGGAGTGGCTCGTGGTATTGCTTATCTACATCAAGGCTGTGACATGCAAATTTTGCATTTTGATATCAAGCCCCATAACATCCTTCTTGACGACAACTTTATCCCTAAGGTTTCAGACTTTGGTCTTGCAAAGCTTTATCCTATTGACCATAGCATCGTCACTTTGACTGCAGCGAGAGGAACAATTGGATATATGGCTCCTGAATTATTCTACCAGAACATTGGAGGAGTATCCTACAAGGCTGATGTCTACAGCTTTGGAATGCTTTTGATGGAATTGGCAAACAGGAGAAGAAACTTGAATCGACATGCAGATCATTCAAGCCAACTTTTCTTTCCCTCTTGGATTTACAATCAATTGATTGAAGAAAGGGAGATAGAAACGAAAGAAGTTTCCAATGAGGAAAAGAATAATGTGAAGAAGATGTTCTTAATTGCACTATGGTGTATACAGTTGAAACCCACTGATCGTCCTTCAATGAACAAAGTAATAGAGATGCTCGAAGGAGATACTGAGAGCATTGAAATGCCTCCAAAGCCTTCTTTTTATCCAACTGAAATGATTCAAGGAGATCTCGAAATCAACTCTGACCAAACTCTATCAGATGATGATGCTACCTCTACTAGTATTTTTGAAGAAACAATAGTCGGTCCTTTATTGAAGTATTCTGCTTAACAATTGCTAGTAATTTGCTTTTGCAAATATATTTCTTAGTTATCTATTAAAGAAACAGATCAAATAGTATTCACATTATAGTAAAATCTAGATTACTGATTAAAAAGAATTTCACGCTACATGTGAAATATAAAATTTTCAACTAATCACAAATACGCCAAACATGCTTTAAAATAACCACAAATAACTTTCAATCTAAAAAATTTATATAATCACAAAAAAAAAATTATTATTTTTTAAGCTCTTATTTTTTATTTTAACTTAAAATAACTTTTAACTTAAAAATATGGATTCGTTTTTTCTGCAGTTATCGCAGACAAGTTATCTGCAGTAAATCAAATATGACGTCGTTTTGGGACGAAAATTATGGTATTTTATAATTTTAATTTATTTCAGGATTATAATAGTCTTTATATTTATAATTTTTTAGATTTCAATACCAAAACGACGTCGTTTCGAAAAATATTTTTTCCTAAAAATATTCGCCAAACAGGCTTTAAAGCAACATAAATCCAAATACGGTAAACAGGCTTTAAGAGAGGGAAAAAGAATTGAATATCTCAAACTCATTGTTCTGTTTCTCTTTTGCTCTCCAGAACCAGGGAGCTGCCATTTTTTCCCCTTCCCTCTAGCCCGTACTGAATCAAACGACATGGAGAGTTAGGAAGAAAACTACACCTAAAATTATCGTTATAGCAATGATTGCAGCATCATCAAACTATATCACCACTTCACCAGCCTTCGCCATATTCTTCATTTCGGCAAAATTGTAGTTGAGAAAGCACTGGCCACAAAAATGTATATGGTAAATTGGTGATTGCGGGCCTTTTGACCCTAGAAGTATGTTCTTTAAAAACTATCATCGGAATAATTTCTTGATGAAATACTACTATAATGCATAACAACTTGTATTGGAGAATATTCTTGACATCACAGAGCACCAAAAGCAACCTTGTCATATGTTGGGATGCCCCACTATCGATGATCCATACTGCATAATTTTCTGCATTAGCAGAAAGCTTGTCTGTTGAGCGAGGCTGCTCAACCAAACTCAATAGGCGATTAATAATCTCAGGAGTCATTGCTGAATATGTTGTTGCAGGTTGCTGATCCTCATCCAGTGCCATTGTTGTTTCTGCGACTAAATGAGACCAGGCTGCACACCAGCTATCAACTTTGATCAGAGTTTTGCGGAAGTGTTCGAACCTGCTCTGATACCATAATAAATTTGGTATCGTAAAGCTTGTATTTTACTGGGTTCAATGGTGCCTTTAATATAAGGCATATCAGTACAAAAAGATAAGACTAAAAATAATAGACAGCAACCTACGTAAACAACTCTATCCTATCATAACAAAACACATTAAACTAGGTAACAAGATGTACATCATAACAAACTATAACAAACTACATTGATCTGATCTTATCCAAGAATATTCTCCAATAACTTGCAACCGTTATAAGACACGACAGGCTAAATAAATGGAAACTGATCGCGGTACCAGTGCTGTCAGGTGGCACCTGCTGCGGTCCCGATCCAGCCTCGTGCCACCAGCGGTCCACCATGTTTTGCAACAAACACGGCGGTCTGAAAGCTGCGTCTTGAAATCGGTACTCTCCCAGCCGCATCAGGTGCAGGTGCATGCAGGACATTACAAACTCCCCTCCCTTCCCCAGCAGTTTCTCCCATTGTCGTCGATCAGGGATGCTGTCGGAGAGCAAATTTTTTTCCATAGTTAGCAGAGATTAGGCAAAGTGATGGTTCTGTGAGTTTTTTCTCTCTTTAGTATGGTGTTAGATTGATCCCATTTTGTATGGTGTTAGAAGTCAGAAGCTTATTTCGTTTTGAAAGTGTTATTTTAAGTAAGTATTATTTAAACCTTTATTATTTAAATTTCCTATACTTATTTTATAAAAGCCATAGGTTAGGGCATTTTAATTTTATAGTCTGCTATTATTTATATTTCTAGTGATGTATATTTAATTGCATAAAATTTTATTAGTTATATTATTGAATTTGTTAAATGTGCTATATTCATATTATTAAAATCTTAGGTTAGTGACTTTATATTTTCATAATTGTATTATTAGGTTTTCTGTAAAGCTATTTTTTTTTTGTCTAAAAATGTTAGGTTAGTGGATTTAATTGTTATAATTTGCTATTATTTATATTATTACCATTTTGTATTTAATTTCATAAAATGTTATTATTATTATATTAACTATTTTATAAAATTTGTTAAATATGCTATATTTATGTTAGTGATATCTTAGGTTAGTGGCCTTATATTTTATGCGTAATTGTATTTTTAGGTTCTTTAAATGTCGTATATTTTTTGTCTAAAAATCTTAGGTTAGTGTATTTAATTTTTATAATTTGCTATTATTTATATTATTACTGTTTTATATTTAATTGCATAAATTTTTTTTATTATTGTATTAATTATTCTATTAAATTTGTTAATCTTTTGTTAAATTTATATTAAATTTGTTAAATATTCTGCACTCATTCGCACGTGATTAGCTAGGAACAAATGCGAAGGACGCGGTTGTTTAAGTGTCACGTCTTAAGACGGTTTTCATAGTACCACGTTGTTATACATTATATAGATAATAAGTTTGTCCAAAAAATTATTCTAGTCAATCTTTATCAAAATGAGACTACTGAGATAAAAAAAACCCGTGATTTCCAATTGTAACATCATATTTGTAGCCTTATACTTTCAAAGGCAGCATATCCAACATCAGTGATTGGATAACTACAAACACAAAAGAGAAAGAATTTGGCAGTGATGCATTGTAAATATAAATTTTTTTACACTAATAAAATAATATTTTAGTATATTGTTAAAAAAAATAGATTTAGATAGTCAACCTTTTTTAATAACTTGAAAACATTGTAATAATGCAAAGAAATTTTACAGCAAAAGTGTATTAAATGTCCGTGTCTTCATAAGTGTACTCTAAAAGCTTGTCGTCCAATAATACACCATAGGCCCATCAAGAACAATGATTGAGATAACCGAAGTCATTTTATATTGGGCCTTGTGAAAATCCAAGTCAGTTTAGTTTACGTGGTCAGTGGGCAACAGGTTGCTTAAAAGGATACTGGTAGCAAAAAAAAAAAATGCTGTCTAAATTCATGAAGATAGAATAAAATTAAAGAGATGGTAGAGACAGTCGTACTTTTTATTTTTATTTTTCTAAAATAAAGATAATAGATTTGTATATCATCGCCAAGTTGTTGATAACAGCAAGAGCATCCTTATTCATGAAGTATCTTTGAGAAAAGATAATAATAATATGATTTCCACGTCTTTTTTTTTAATCATGCACTACAAAAAATGAATTTATTTCTCTTAGTTTTTCTCATAAAGGGAAAATGAAGAATAAAAATATAAACATAAAGTAGAAATAATTGTTGCACGTATAGGAAGATAAAACAATTTTGTTAATTAGCATGAGCTAAGTTTGATAGAAGGTCTCGACTACTCCTCTTTACCCATATATATAACAAGCAGAAACCTGGATCTTCAAAAGTTTGCTCCATATAGCAGAAGCAGACTGATAAATTTTATTATCTGAGGTGAATTTCGCAACTCCCTCGTCAAAATTCCGAATAACTTAAATTTTCCTTCGTGGTTGTAGAGTCTTAACAAATATATGGATCTGGATTTCTTTCATTCAAGGATATTAATGGACTAGGATTTTGAATTTACTGGGCTGGGCTGGGCCTAATTTTGATTATCATTCAATTGATTAGACAAATTAAATTAATCCCTATTAATTCATTTGATTACAAACCGTGTATAGTAATAAAAAATGGATTTGGATCATTTTTTGTTTGGCACGATGAAAATAATATATAATCTCTTATAAATTACCTAAATCTCTGGCCCCTTATTACTACTTTGTCTCAGTTGCTTGATTTAAATAATTTTTCTGGTTTAGACTCGTGAATTCAAAATTTTCATGTTAGCAATGTTCTTTCTTTAGCATGTTAGCAAATCGAACCATTCACGTCACTTATGCTCTTTCTTTAGCATAATTAAGTGTATTCTTATTTTCTTATATTTTCCTTCAATGTCATTTCAACTTCTTTTTTATTACACAAGCATCGATCTTTTCATGATAAATCACATTAATAACTATATCTTTTATTATATATTTTTAAAATCCTTCCCTATTTAAGTAATTTTTAAATATAAATATTTTTCATAAATTTACGTTAATATACGGCATTTTACTTTATCTTTCTACGTTTAATTTTATAAAGCGTTCCCGCTGTTGAAATTGATACTTCCTGATTATTTATTTTTCTTACTATAAATCAAATTCTTAATAATAGAGGCCAGTGCAGTGGACTGAAGGACCAAAGTGACGGGAATAAATTATATATATTTTAAAAATTATAATTAAAATATAAAATTACATAATTAAAATTCAATAAAAATTACATAATTAAAATTCAATATGAAATTATATTATCAATAAAAATACTTATAATATAAAAAGTTTGAACATTGATGGGCTTCTAAGTTCCTAATCCTTGGATTTGAGTCCTTTTATTAAGAATAATTAAGTTGAATGTGCAGCATGTGCCATTTGTTATGTTGAAATATGCAGCGGGACAGGTTTGATGCATATTTTTACGCATAATCTTTATATAATGTGAACACAGGAGCTAAAGTTTAGTTGAGCTTTTCGTGTTGAGATATATAGTTCCACATTGGTTGTATGTGCCAACTACTGTGGAGTTTATAAGGCCTTGGGCACTCCCACCCTTTGAGCTAGCTTTTGGGGTGGTGTATCCCAAGGTTCTTAACATGGTATCAGAGCCTCCTGGACCGGTGTGTATAGCGGGTACGCTGTATTCCCAGTGGGGGAGGATGTAATGTCCCACATCGGTTGGAGAGGAGAACGAAGCATGCCTTATAAGGGTGTGGATACCTCTTCTAGTGTGAGGCCTTTTGTGGGGTGTCCCAAGAAACAAAACCGTGAGCCCGTGGGCAAAGCGGACAATATCATGCTACTGGGTTTGAGGCTGTTACATTTGTTGAGA